TCGTTGCCAAGCGACGAAAACCCAACCCCGATGGCAAACACCGGGGGGGGAGGGGTGTTTTTTGTGTGTGAAGTGTGATGAACTGCTTCTTCCAGACACGGCGAGGGTTTGCAGAGCCTGGTCTGAGAAGCAACGAATCGTGACGGGGGGTACGGTATTCATTCGTTGATTCCCGCACTGGTACCCCCTGACTTGTTTGACGAACAATTGACTTGTAGCACTGCCGCTCTCAGCGGTCTGCGGTGGTGTTGGACTGTTGGGGTACTATCTAGTTATTATCCCCGGCATACCCATCACACCCATGCTTCCCATACGCGTATCCCCCACCGAGGATGGATGCACAGATCAGACTTACTTGTTCTTGGGATTTAGACCCGAGGTTCCCCGCTCTTGGGCAAAAGCAAAAGCAAAATAGTTTCAGGTGTTTTCGTTGTTCGAGTGATGTAGAATACCATCCTTTGCCGTGATTCGCGATAGATATTTAGACTATGTATGTACGTATATATCTCGTGTTTGTGGGTTTGCGAACATCGGTGTTGGATACATGACATTTATGTATGTATGTGCTGGACGATTTTGTGTCACGCAGACTGGTAAGATTGCCGTTTGGTAGGGGGCACCTCGATGATCCACGGGGCCCCTCCTTGCTGTGGGAGCCGCTCTTGAAGCACTCCCTCTTTCGTCCGTGTGAAGGACGGTCGTCTACCTCTCGTGAAGTTAATACATCACCAAAACAATCTAACCTGATAAATTCGTGGCGTAGGCTGCAATCATCTCGAAACGGGGGGGCGTAGTCAGGTCTTGCATGTCATTGGGGTGCGGAGGGGGGGGTCAACAGTGTCGCGTGCGTGTGATGCGTGTGGTGGAATTTAGAGTTTTTTTGTGTGTGTAGCGAGAGCAGATGAGTATAGAACTACGACGGCATAATATATATGCTGTCACACGCGTGTGTGTTGTGCCGCGGAAATGAGTCTTGCTAGTTGTGCGTTACGTGGTGGTGGGGGTGTACAGATAGCGCCCGCAGTTGAGAAAAATTCTTTCTGTTGAGAAAAAAAAGGCTCAAGTTTTTAAAAGAATAAGAAAAAAGGGCTAAGAAACACCATAATAATAGCTCAATCGCGGCCACAACGTAAGAAACGCCCCATTAAGAAACATGATGGTGCGACACCCCCATAACAAACACCAGAAATCTTCGGTGCTCCTACTCCCTTACTTACCTAGCTGAACAAGGGTGGGTGCATTTTTGTTTTGTAGGGGGCAGCAGGAGGAGGAGTGTTCTTTTTCGTGCACCCTCCCCCCCGCCCCTGCTGTGTTGTTCACGGTGCTGTACTGTAGTACTGCCACACATCACGGACAACCACCTTACTTCGCTTTAGTACGGGTTTGATGGCACTCTACACCGCCTCTCTTGAGGGGCTTATTTGATGAAGTGGATTGTCCTCAGATATCAAAGGACAGAAGCAAATAAATATGAAATGCAACGTAGGGAGTAAGAAATCGGAAGCAAGCATGGATGGATGCGACACAGTCGTCACAGGAACAAGAAATGCCATTCAAGAAAATGGACGACTTGGTTGGGCCGGTGCTTCGACCCAAAATAAGGGATTGAGGCTCGACCCGATTTTGACGTTTCTTATCTACGGGCGCTATCTGTAGGGCGAAACAGCTTTTTCCGGGAACAGCTCCGTCTTGATCGTTGGGTGTGCGCGTGCAGCATGATGATCGTACGTGCGTGCGGTTCGTTTGTTGTTTGTTGCGAAGATGCGCCTGAGAAATAGGGCGGAAAATGTCGCGAGAAAACGAAGAGTCCCGGGGCCATTCATTGTGGTGCATCCCCCCTTTGCCCCTGGTCGACAAACACCGCGACCACAGATAGACCCAGATACATACCCGGTCAATGGCATGCGGTTTTCCCACATTGCGATAATCTAGGATACTCCCCCCGCTTCCCTTGGATATGTACAAGTATCGTCTCTGCATGCATGTAGAACGCCAACAAATGTGACAATCGAGCTGATGATGTGTGTGGTAGGAGCACGTGCCCCTCTTTCGTCAGTCAGCACTCTCGGTGTCGGCCAAGCAAACTCTATGCTCGCCCGCGGCGTGGTGGTTTGCGGGGGGAGGGACAAGCGCGAGACAACGGCCAAACAAGTTGATTCTCACGTACGTCCTTCTTTGCTGCTCGAGGACCCGATGTACGTGACCGAGGTCTCGAGTAGGAATGGATGGGGGCGTTTTCTCGATACACTGAACGTTGGAAGATGGCCCTTTCTGCGCCCGTGCACGTGGCGAAAAGAGCACAGAAAACAATTTTGAGATTCACAAGCAGCTGTATCACACACCACCAAGAGGCTAAAAACTTGTCAGCTGTGGAATAGCCCGGTCTTCTTCTGGCCGGTGCCTAGTGAAGACGAGTAGCATCCTGTCTACTCGCGAATGAACACGCCGGAGGTGGCTCGAGGGTGGCGACCCACTATAACGCCTGGCACCACCAATTCCAGAAGGCACGCTACCAAACCAACATCCGCAGCAGACAGCAGCGTAGATCTCCGGGACCCTTTCCTCCCGAAAGGGCCAAAACGGTAAAACTCTATAGACTTTAGTCCGACTCGACTCACAAGAGTATCGCGTCGAGAATCTCGATTCGCGAAGACGAAACAGCGACAAACTACAACACTTGTGCAAGAACGAACCAAGAATAGGGGGGAGGTGAAGCCGGGATCCGCGCGGCCCCAACCAACTCACCCCGGTGGTCTAGTTGGTATCCTCGAAACCTTGTAGAGGTTAGGTCACGCGGTTTGAATCCCGGCGTAAGCGAGCTTTTCTTGCAAAGTGAGTTTTTCTCTCGTTTCCGCTCCTGGCCTATTTGTGGATAGCGCTAGTTCGTGTGTACACGGAGGGAAGAAAGTGCTGCTTGTGAATTTCGAAGGCAAGACTTCCTAAACTGATTCCAACTATCGGTTTTGCCTCTTTGCTCTGGGTAGCCCTCGCTCCGCGTATGAGCCCAAGCCCCACCTTCGGAAGTCTTTCGGCGGGGGGGGGGTCTCTGGGCAGCCTGAAACAAAGGAACGGGCCCAAACCGTTCGCACATGTGTATCGTACGCGAAGCAACGTATTTCACGATTCCGTGGACCGATTTGCGAAGAAAGCGAGAGTACAGTACTCCACATCCGGGGCAGCAGTGGCGACCGGCGCCGAAAAGGGCAGCCTCTATTCGAGAGCCTGCTTGCCGAAGACACATCGTTTCATTCGAACGTCCTGGAGCAGGGCAGCAGCCCGTGAGATTTGGCGAGAGGCGAGACAATCGAAACACTTCACGGAGCCCCGCTTTGGTTGATTTCGGCGACCGCCCGCCCAAGCCTACGCCTCCTGGCTCTCGACTCGCCGCTTTTTAGTCAACCATGTCCCGGGATGAGAGGTGCTCGCTTCTACGGAGTGCCGTCGGCCCCGACTAGGGTTGGTAGTCGACCCGTCATAAATCGGTCCTGGGGATGCACTCATTGCAGTGCATGCCATAGTCGTTTGATCGTTGACCTCGCATCCCTACAAGTCGGGACGGAGCGGGACGGATTCACACCGGACCAGGCGCTCACATCACCCAGCGCGAAGCGCCTTCACCCATTCGGCACGAGTCGCATAGAGAGTGCAGGAGGGGCGCGTATGCATTCGATGTCACCTCCCCCAAAGTCACCTCCTTCTACTGCACGGCCCCCGTCAGTCTTCACTACCTCCACCTCAATCAGATTAATAGCCCCCGCTCGGTTCTACTTGCCTCCGTTTCCTTTGGCGAAGACTGACACTACTGCAGTCTGTAGGTCCTGACCAGGATTGTCCCGGAATGACAAAAAACAACAAATGCCGCCTCCGCTGATGGAAAACGTATCGCCAAACGCAAGGATGATAACCAACTTCTGGTCCATTCTTGTGAAACGTAGCCTGGGCCGGCGAAAACCCGCCATACCGCTCCGCCCCGATATTGCAGGGATGCGAGGTCAATGGTCGAACGACTGCGGCATGCGTGCAAGGTCTACCGTCTAACGGCCACGGCATGCTTGTACAGGAGTACCCCGCTGGCAGCGCGCCAGGTGTCCTTATCTTCAACCCCACCGGCCGGTTCGAGCGAGAAAATTGTCTACCGTACCACTTCGGGAAACATACAACACGACAGCCAACAATTACAAGCAAACCACGAATGTCGCACTGCTGTTCCTGAACTGCAGCGATGCATAAAAAAATTAAACAAAAAAGCTATCGTGTCGATCAACCCCTCTTCCGACCTAACTAGATCTCTTTCTCTCCGTTTTCAGCCTTTAGTTACCGTATGTATTTCTCTCTCGCCCCCCCACTCTTCCCGACCTACGTCCTCCGCGCCGCCATGGAGACGTAAATCAGGCCGCCGCCGCCGCCGCCGCCGCCGCTATCCCTGCTGCTGCTTGGGATGCCTCCCTCCGCACCCACCCACCTCTGCGGATGAGGGTACCCACCCATCTACCCACCCTCCACACACACACACACACGCACACCGAGTGCGGCCACAGGTGTGTGAACCACACGCGAAATAGGGGCTCACGCGTCATCTGCTCGACACAAGAAGACAGGGCGGGCGACGTTTGCATGGCACCAACAAGAAGGTCTCCTTTAGGGTCATGGGAGGGGCGAGGCATTATCCACGGGAGCCCCAAGCGCCGAACAACGAGTACGATACCTGTCTTATGTTGGTGGCGACGTTGCGCCCTGCGGGAAGACGGCGGGTCACGACACAGGCCAAAAAGTAACGTCGAATTCTTGGAAGAACAAAACCTCCCACTGTTGCCGTATTTCATCTCGAACGGGAGGAAGTCTTTCAGTGGGTTGTGTGTAATTTCGGAAACGACAAAACACGGAAACGTCGAAACGCACTGCTCGCAACCAAACACACTGCTCGAATATTCCACAGCAACAAGAACGGCGGTGCACGGAAAGCAACAAGAACGGAGGTGCACGGAAAAGGCAGCGCGCTAAAACCATCTCGACAAGGGCTTCCCCAAAGCAACTTGTCTGGTTAACGCATGCTCTTCATGGTGGAGTATTGGGGTTGGAGTAGGCGGCACGATGCTGGAAGCGCTGAATTGAAGTGATGACAAAAAAAAAAAAGAAGAAATCGACCTTTTCAAAGCGGTCCTGGGGGGTGTCATATCTAACGGCACCTACGGCATAGACGCGGATCTCACCTACTGCTATTACTCGGGGGCACCGCAGACTTGACTTCTCCTTCATCGGCATCCCCTACCCCGCCGTCGACGTCTTCCTCGTCCTCGCCGCCCGCCATGCCCCAATCATCGTCGTCTTCGGCACCACCAACACCGATAGCGCCACCAGCTCTCGCCTGCTCAGAAAAAATCAGCGCGTGTGGAGATGAGTATCACACGTGCCACCGCCGTGTCAAGGATAAAAAGGATCGCTGCTGCTGCTGCTGCTGCTGCGGTTGGAAAAACTGTCCTGCATTTTTTTACAGCCGGGTATCTCGGGTTACAAGTGCTTGCCGCATGCATGTTGCTCTTGAGAACTGACGCCAACCTTTGTTGCGTTTTTGTACAATCGGGCGTGTTCGAACCAGAAGTGGTGTGGGCAGATCGTGTTTCGATAACAATTATCAACACAATGTCGAACAACAAGACCATAGCAGTACTGCAGCACTTCACTACTAGTGTGTTGGGGTGTTCACTGTGTACTGCAGCAGTAAGCACGATGTTTTGTAAATGCTGGCGTCCCCTCCCACCCACAAACGCCATTTGACAAAACCTTGTCCCATCGCACACACGTGTAACATGGCACAAACAGACTGACTGGGAATCGGTGCACGGGGTGCACGGGGTGTACGGGTTATAGACGAAAGCCACCGTTGTGCTCCAGCTCAACGCCAAAGAAATTACCCCTCGGTCTGATCGGAAAAAAGGGAACACCCATTGCGTTAAAAAACAAAGACAAAGCTCGACATCAGGATACGCCGCGGGTGTTCGGAGATTTTCCGCCGCAGTTTTATTTTTTTATCTTGTCTGGGCGAAAAAAAAAAAAAAACTTGTCACCAGCTCGCAACAAAACACGTATGGTAGAGGTAAACGGCTCAACAAGAGCGAGCTCACTAGCTCGCCTGGGGAACAGAGGCACCCTTCGCCGATAGTGCTAGTGCCGGCTTCCGGGGCGCCAGTCCGATCGCCGCCGCGGTCGAGCCCGCCCCCTCCCAGCCTTCATCGTCGTCCCACCTGCTCGGCGACGGAAAAAAAAAAAAATGTTGGGAGACAGGACAACGATGCGTGGGGCAGGGGGTGTTTGTTGCTGTTGTTGTTTCTCACATTAGCTCGATAGTCCACAAAAAATGGGGGAGCCCGTGGTCTCAAAACCCGGCACATACGACGCCGCGAGAAAACAAAACAAAAATAGGATACAAACCACTCGGAAAAAGAAAACAAAACGAAAAGGAAGAAAAGAACAGCTACCGCACCGACCGTTCGAGAAAAGAGCCCTCGGAAACCAATCAAAGTAAAACAAAACAAAAATAGGATACAAACCACTCGGAAAAAGAAAACAAAACGAAAAGGAAGAAAAGAACAGCTACCGCACCGACCGTTCGAGAAAAGAGCCCTCGGAAACCAATCAAAGTAAAACAAAACAAAAATAGGATACAAACCACTCGGAAAAAGAAAACAAAACGAAAAGGAAGAAAAGAACAGCTACCGCACCGACCGTTCGAGAAAAGAGCCCTCGGAAACCAATCAAAGTAAAACAAAACAAAAATAGGATACAAACCACTCGGAAAAAGAAAACAAAACGAAAAGGAAGAAAAGAACAGCTACCGCACCGACCGTTCGAGAAAAGAGCCCTCGGAAACCAATCAAAGTAAAACAAAACAAAAATATTAGCACTCGTGTAAGCGTATGCCGAAGTTGGTAGACCATGAACCTCGCATTCCTACAATGCCGGGGCGGAGCAACATGCCGGGTTTTCGCTGGTCGAGGCGTGAGGCAGGTGCGGGGGGGGGGGGGGGGGGGGGGGGNGGGGGGGGGGGGGGGGGGGGGGCGTACTCTTATGTTTTGCATGCCTTAGCGGTTAGATCATTGACCATGCGTCCTCGAGAGGACGGAGCATGTAAAATCGAGAAAAAAAAAATGTTTGGCAACACAACCGCTGTCATCTACAATGAGAACAACAAGCAGCATTTTAACACCGCGAGTAAACACGACTGGCTGCTGCACAGCAGCGGCAACGAGCACGACGCGGCTGGAGCTCAGCACAGACGTGGCAAGAACACTTCAAAAACAGAGGGCACGTACAATAGATCGGAGTAACCACACCAACTGGCAGGGGAAAACACCCAAAAGAGCAGCTTTCGACAGAGGAAAGAGCTTGCGGCATTTGCTCACAGCGATGATACCCTTGGCCACTTCACAGCTGCCGTCAACAAACCAACAGCGCCATCCAGCAACCCACCCCCGACTCAATGCTGCACAGCAGCAGCGACAACGAGAAGGCTACCGACGGAGCCAACCGCACCCGACCTGTTGGCCGGTTTGGCGTTGAGCGTGGCGAACTTCTCGTCGAGCAGCTTCATGGCCCTGGCTCGGCGCCGCTCAGCGATAGGATCCTTCCGCTGCCGGCGTGGGCAAAAAATCAAGGAATTTCATCAAGCGGGGCGGGCGAGAGGTGGCATGAGGGTCGCGGTTAGCCTTGGCGCCGTCACGAAAACCATTTGCACAAAAAAAAATATATATATGTATATAATATAATAAATAAATAAATGGCAATACGCAAGATACCACACACCCCATACATGTGGTAACGCGCCCTACAAAATATTCGAACCCTACGCGGGCGGAAACTATTGTTGTCCGGCCAACATGACCCCAATGTGTGAAATTAAACTACTCTCAGATCCAGCGGAGGAGAAACGCTCACTACTGACAAAGCTCCATCGTAGACACGGCATTTTTAGCAGGGCATAGCACACGACAGCACCGCCCACCCACAACAGAGAACCCGAAACGCGACGTCACAAGTCAGGCTGCGCTGCTACGACTGGAGCGCCTCGAACCAGCCCTCCCTCACCGCCGGAGTCGAAGGGGATAGCGCAAGATACCAGCCCCCCCTACCACCCACCCCCATGATAACAAGAAAGCTTAAAGCTTGTGTTGCACGTCAGGGCGTACTGCTACCGAGGGAGTCGGAGTGCATAGCGCAAGATAACCCCTCCCCCCTCCAGCCTGGTCCGGTGAGAACCCGGCGTGCTCCGTCCCGGCTTTGTAGGGATGCGAGGTCAATGGTCTAACGACTGCGGCATGCACGACTATGAGCACACACACACACACACACACACCCCCAACAAAGCCGAAACGCTAAGTCACAAGTCAGGGCCCGCTGCTACCGCTGGAGCGCCTCGAGCCAGCCTTACCGCGGGAGTCGGGAGCGTTGCCACGACCAGAGGGTCTACCCCCCCCTGACCATCCACCACCGACACGGGTAGCCTGGCCGCCCTCCCCTTAAAGCATCCCAGCAGCAGGAAGACCCCATAGGTGAAGTCGCACATCGGCTTAACAACCCTGGCATTGAATCATTTGATTTGCGTGCTTCGTGTTGTTTTTCGGTGTGATCGACCACGTTTGACCGGCTGGCCAACGGAAAGACGTTGGTGCCGGCGGGGAACAACCAGGGGTCCCTGTATGTGTATGTGCATGTGTGCCTCTTTGATTTGCACCGACCGCGCTATTGCGTGTGTGTTTGTGTGTGTGTTTTCTGTTTTTCGTCCTTGGTTCTATGTTCAAGAGACGAGGCCAAAGGGGAAAGGGGAACGCTGAGTGCGCGCCAGAGATCCTCCCGTGTTCCTATGGCCCTTCTAGCTGTTACTTCACCGCTCTTCCACGCACACAACACGGACCACAAAATAGATCGGGGTGGACGGGGGTGGGTACCGCAACTCAGCACCACCCACGCAAGCAAGGTGGCCCCTTCAGCGCCATCTCAAAGATGTAACACCAGGTTGGTACACGTCGGGGTTATCTTGCACCCGCGGCGATTCACTGCTTCAAGCAGCGCGTTAACCATCAGCTCGCGGTAGGGCGCGACCTGTTGCGGCGTCGTGGGCCGCGGCGGAAACTCCACACAGGCGTGCAGATTCTCTTCGAGCGGAGAGACTTTCCTCAGGACCTTATCATTCGCTTCAATGACTCAATTTATTGAATCCCTACTGCTGTTGGGATTTCCCTCCTGATAACGAACAAGCCGCGTCGCATTGCCCTCTTATTAAATGCACGAGCAAAAAAAAAAAATGCCTACCCATTCGAGACGAGATCACAGCAGTCGAAGAGGATTTTCCTGTAGAGAGGAGACACATCTCCCACCTTACCTGCGACACGGCAAGGGGAAGAAGTTGACCAGCTGGAAATCCTCCGTCACATCGCCTGACGGGGCTCCCAGGACACTACGTTCACCAAGCGCCGAGGAGGGGGGGAGGGGGAGGGGGTGGACCACCTCATGTTTTGCATGCCTTAGCTGTTGGGCGTTTGGCCACGAGAGGACGCAGCATTCTGGGGGAGGGGGGTACTCAACACTTGCTTTTCCTCCGTCTTGTGACCGTTGAAAAAATACCCCCTTGTGAAGTCACACCACCGTCCGTTCCTGCCCTTCCTGCTGTATCGTTTTGAAAGACGCCTGCGGCATACGGATGCCGAATGCAGGGTGGGGGAGATCTCTGTGCTACTAGGCGAAGCGCGAACCAGAAAACAAGCGATGTACTGTACTTCACAGCGAAACAAGCCATGAGGCGTGCCACCCCAAGCACGGAAAACGCCGCCCTACTCTTCGAGAATACCAAATTTTCGAAAGGCCTAATGTTCCTGAGACTGTCACCCATGACACGCGAAAGGTGACGTGAACCTATAACCAAATCGCGCGGAGGCGAAGGTGTTCTAGCTGCAAGGTCAGGTCACTCGGTCTCATGCCAACAACAACAACAACAACAACAACAACAACAACAACAACAACAACACCACCACCATCACCACATCAAAAACAACAGCAGCAGCAGCAACAACATACTCACAGGTGTGCGAAGAAGCGGAGGTAGACCCAGGAGGCGTAAGCCCCGACGACCACGAAGGGGAAGTCCTTGGCCACCACCGGCACCGAAAAGGCCCTACACACCGCAGAGGCCGTCACCAGCGACAGAGGCAGGTACCTGGTGGGGAACCAAGGCGCCCGACCGGCCTTTCGGACACACGTCACAGGGCGGTGGAACGCAACCAAAAAAAAAACTTCAGCCACATGATGGCGGAAGCGGTTGTGAGATGATCAAGTGAGGTGATGCACACAGCTTTAACATTCTTCCAAGCGTAA